CCCAAGTCAACCGGCCCACTGTGTAAACTCTAGAGTTTAGGGTTTCCGAGTTATGCGGGGGGTTGCGGCTCCTTTGGTCAGCCTGGCTCCGGCTTCGACGATTCGATCGAATGCCCCGCGAGCCGAGGAAAGCTCCACAGCATGGCCTCACGAAAGACTGTCCCAAAGAGCCTTTCTTAGGAGCCCAATAGGTAAACTTTAAATTTTTTTGGTATATTAAACCCCTACAAAAAGAAAAGATTATACTTTTTTGGGCCAGGGTACTGGGCAGCTAAGCTTTAGGAGCCGGAGGAATTAGTAATTAATACTGGTATTCCCCTATAGTTACGATATAGTTTCGTCAAGTTACAGCAAGATATGCCAGAAAATCCTGCTCCGGTCGTTAAGGCCCCTGGTGTTTCTGGCTTTGCTGCGACACATCACGACTCCTCAGCAGGTCGTGTTGGCCCCCTAGTGCTATTAACATGTCCAGCCCTTGACCCTTAGCCGCCTCCAGGAAGCCTTCCTGCACCCGAAGTCCTGAACACTGCGCCCTGAAGCTCAGCTTTAAGAATAACAGTCTCATTAACACGTATCATGATCCCAGTACTTTCATGCTTTGAGAATAACAGTCTCACTAACACTTATCATGGTCCTAGTACTTTCATCCCTAAACCAAAACAAGCCGAAACCCTAAACCGTTTTAGTCAGCAATGGCAACACTCGCGAGACCCAGAAAGCCGGAGAAGCTCTCAGGTTCAGTCGAGTCTACAAGTCCTCTTCTGGTCTCTGGGCTTGCTCGGGGTCATCCAATGCATCGCAGGCGCAGCCCGAACTGTTGTGGTCCTAGGCATAGATCATTACAAGATATACATACGATGAGTCTATGATATACGATGATGACTGGTATAGGGTATACTATGTTTCCATAGTGTGCTTGTAATGTAGCATAAAGCCCCGAGGCTGTGCCAATCGATGTCTTGCCCAACCTAGCCCCTGGCCCTGCAGCTCGCATGTGTGACAACCTCTGCGCCGAGAACCTGGTTTAGGATTCAGTGTTTAGGGGTTTTGGGTTTAGGAAATGCAGAGGCTGTTTGGCAGTGTGATCGCATCTACGCAAGGCCGCTAGGTTCATGCTCGCACCAACCAGCACTCCAGGACTCAAATACACTCGCGTGGTCTTGATGCGGAGGTGGACTCCCGAACCTTCAACCATAAGAAGAAGTGCACCAAAACCATAAACCCCGAACCCACATTTTTGGCCGGCTTTGTTGGAGTTTCGGGGTCGGTGGTGTGATTTCGACGTATACTTTGTGGAGTTCTGTGCTGCTGCTGCTTTGAAAATGTAGGGGTTAGAGTCCCGCTATATGACGTCCTACAACGGTCCATCATGGTGGGTCTATAAGTTGTTCGATGTTCTGGCGGGGCCACGATGCGGTTTATGCACCTGCACCAGAATGTGCATCCCTAAACCCTAAACCCTAAACCGTGTGTGTTGCTTCATTTCTTAGGAGGCCTCTTGAAGCTTCAACAGAGCAACACCTTCAGGGTTCAAAGAACCCAATAATTAGGTACTTGTGTTTAGGATAGTAATTACAAATGTTATGTAGGCGAATAGTTGGGATAGTATCAGTAAATGATGGTTAGGCACTTACACCCTTAAGGACACACAAACTTCGAGACATGGGGGAGTTTGAACCCTCGAACAGTTGCAGCTGCCCGAAAACCTTCATCCCAGTGCCCCAAGGTTTAGGGTAAGTTTAGGGTTTAAAGTTGTGTGGCTTCCTCAGAAGGCATGGTCATCGGACAGCTTCTGATGCCCTACATGAGGAATGAATCCATCGATGCGGCTCTGCTGGATAAGACCGTCTTGCCTCGAGGGGTATCCTGTGTCCTGTTGAGAGAAAGGTTGGACACAGCACCGTAAGGGCCTCTGACCCGCTCGCGGAGCTGCACAGGTGTTTCGAGCCTTCTGGCTCATGTGTTGAGGTTGAGGTTCGGAATTCTGTGACTCGCAAACCCCCAGACTTCAATCCCGCACAAAACAGGGTGGGTACTCCGTAAAGAGTCCAGACTCAGTGCAGAGTTAGAACTAAGCTGAAGATGGACAGTTCTCTAGACAGGGTCACTTTATCGGTCCTGCTTATTAGCATGATGCCTTGTTTAACTCTGACGGAATGAAACCGGAACATTGATTTACAGAACTACCTACATCTGGGTTGCTGTCGAAATCGGGGCCCGTTTTGGATTCCCAAGCTGTGGGGTGCCGCGTTAAGAGTAGAGTTAGATAGGGTTCCCCAGAGGCACCCTGATTTTGACAGTTGCCCATATGTATCCCTAGACTTGAATCAAACACGAGGAACGAGCGTTTGCTGCCCAGACCCTAAACCCTAAACCCTTCCGGTCTCGTCTATTCGTGCGCTCGATGATCCCTCGAAGATCCTGGAAGCTCAGGTTTCCCCTGGGGAACATAAGGGCCTTAATAATTGGAACATAAGTTGCAATTATATGGCATGCTAGGCCCTAAAGCCTTATATTCTGATTATTAAGGCCTCTACACCCTAGACCCTAAACCATAAACCCTAAACCCTAAACCCTAAACCCTGAACCCTAAACCTTACATTCGTCGGATATGAGTTTTGCCGAGCTTAAGGAAACGCTAGCTGGGCTTCTAAGGTTCTAAGCCGTGCCATGCTGGTGTCACATCTTCCCCGAGCCTCCCAATTAGAAAACATGCCCGGACATGTCCAAAAAGCATTGAACCTCCCAAAAAATCATCTAATACTTGAGGCTGTGTTATTTATGTCTGTAACCCTCAAACTCTCATTCATCTTGAGCCCAAAACCGCAAACCTAGATCTCAAACCGAAATAAATAATATATATATATATATATATACATATTTACATATATATATATATGCCTGTGTGTATATATATATATATATATATATCATACATGCATATATATATATATATACAAGCCATACAATAGAACCCAATACATATGTACATACGTACATATCCCCAAAGTCCTAAAGCCCGCAATTCCGCCACTAACTCCAAATTCAGGTGGTCCGAAGAGCAGAGGTCTACAAATACTTCGGCACCTTCAACCGCACGCTGCTGACAATGTTTGAGGTGCCTGCGGACCACGAACTAACATAACGTCCTTAAGGAAAAGAGCCCTAAAAGGGTTTTGGTTCATATACCATATAAGGGTTCATAGTATAAGGGCATAGGGCCCCTACTTTTAAGGTTCTTTTCGTCCTTAAGGATAGCCTAAATAGTTACCAATATTACTGTTAGGGTTCCTTTTTGTGTATATATATATATATATATAGACTGTAAAGGAGCCCAAAACCCTATTCTGATTATGAAGGGCCCTATATTAGGACACCAGTGAATGGTGAGAACGGGGTTTCGGGGATTACAGTATAAGTCTTGATAGTTATAGAAGGACTGCCAAAAATACTATTGCTAATTTTTCGACCCGCCCAAGTACCGTTTCAGGGGTCTCATATTTCTGATAGAAGGATATTATCGGGGTTAAAGCATGTAGAAGACATGTGGGTGTCTGCATGGGCTGAAGTGTCAGTGTAGCTTAACGTCTGGGCTTGAGTTTTCGAGACATTGAAAGGGTTTGGAGTTCAAGTGCCGAGACTGCCTCCTTACTATTCTCTGACACCTTGCATGAATACTATATTCGTTTCTTCAAAGCAACGTCGCTTCACCGAAAGTCGAGCAACACTGGAGTAGCATGCCCATGGAGTCAAAGCCTCCACCCTAAGGGTCCAAAGGACCTCTTAATCATGTACTTGGCTTACGGATGGTAGCTTTGTAGGTTAGCATTCAGAAGAGTATATGACTATTAGGTACTTGGACCCTTAGGGCCAGTGACAGCTTGGCGCCAACAAGCTGATGTTCACTCGCACACCTACCTTCCTAAACCACGACTTGACATCCTACATGTAGCCTGCATGTTTTCGCTGATTAGAGCTAGATGCGCGGAAACATGTTGCGATAGTGTCGAACGGCCCCAGATCCACCCATACGTACCTTCCTAAACAAAGCCGACTGGCGGCGTGCGGAAGGTCCTTTTCGCAAACTGGGCTATTCCTGCACGGATTTGCATCGAAAACGCTCCTTGGCAGCGGTGGAGTCATGTGTGCTCGGCTTTGGAGAACCAGAAGCCACATTCATTGGCTACTTTACTGTGACCACATGTATCTATGCACGTATGTGTATATATAATATATATACACAGAAAACATCGGGCCCATTTTGTCGTATTCGTAAAAGATCGATTTTCAAGTGTTTCTTTACAAAGATGTCGCACCTAGGATGAACCAGGCCCCAATCCGCGTCCGGTACAACAAAGAACATGACACGGGAAGAAGGG